AAACCGCCTGTTTGTAGAGGAGAATGGTGATCCAAAAAAGCCATTCTCCACTTCCATACTTCAGGGAGTGCATGCTTCCTGCACTTCACCCAAAATCTACGCTTCCCCTTCACCCTGATGCCACTACCACAACAGTGCCACTGGTGTCACCCTCACGGCTCGACCAAGGAGCCCAGCACATGCGCCAGTCGCGCGGCTCCGATGCTTTGGGCGGAGCCCAAGCATCTCTGAGGCCCCACCACCTGGCGCAAACGGCGCAGCATGGCACCAGGAGACCGACCCGTTGACCTACCTGGTGTCGTGAAGCCGGCTTACATGGTAGGGTCCCAGGTCTCCAGGTGAAAGCTTCCACAGTGCTCAAAGAATGACATCAGAACTTTGCACCCGAATGAGTGGTGTTGAGAGCCCTTTGGGCTTGTGTATACATAAATTGGGATAGTCTGAGTTCAAGTCTGAGTGAAGCATATAGAACAACCAATCAGAAGGCTGCTCAGACCCCGATGTCCGGCACCGAATGCTGGTGTCCCGCAACGAACTGAGTGAAACCCTTTCTAGAAGTAGACAAGGGGATCGTCGTCTTCGTGCTATGATCGAAAGGTGAACGGGCACACAGGGCTTCCTAAACACTGTCCCATGCAAACAGTTCCATTCTTGGGTGAATCACTACTTGACCCACCACATCAATGAGGTCTTCCAAATGCAGACCCAAGTTCCTCACCTGCAACGCCCGCTTTCCACTCTCCAGCACTCGGCCTTGCCAAAGAGCTGGGGCCAGTCGCATCCGGAGTCGCCCAAGAAGACGCCACACGCCAAGTTGCGGGCGCCCGCTCGGTTGACGCCGGAGCCACGCAAGGCCTCGTAGCCCGTCTGCAGGAGCAAGCGCTGCGCCGGCGACATGATGCCCGCCTCGGAAGGAGCGGAAAGAAGCAGGGGACGTCGAAGCTGAAGTGTTGACGGAAATGTTCGGAAGCATCCGGAATGGGAGCCATAGAACAATGAAGATGTGGTATGTTCAAATCAAATATCTGGTCTTGTTAGTTATATAGATATATATATTATGTGCATATATATATATATATGTCAATGATTGATGGGTCAATTCCAGAGAAAATGAAGTTTTTGGCGTTGGCCCAGTTAGAAGGTAGGGATTCCCCAAAGCACATCAGAACAAAACACAGAACAGGACCTGCCTACCCTCCAACAAGTGTGCTTATGGGTGCTGCTACGTGCTACGGGACAGCCAATTGCAGGTTTTTGCTATGTCAGATCACGAACCTTCTGCGCTTGTTCTCGCCTCCGTTTCGGAAATCTGAAAGAACTCATTGTCGAACCTGAGCTGCGGGTCCAAAGGGGTGGTGAGGAAGGATCGAGGCCACATACGTTGCAAGGAGAAATTGGGCTTTTTGGAAACAAATCAGGAGACTTGTCAACATGGGGTTTTCACATCCGTTTCAAGTCTCAACGTAACCGCAGCTTCTACCACGTCGCTTGGAACAAGTGGTTGACATGGGTCCCAAAACACTCCGTTGAAAAAGACCCGAAAGACTTCAAAAAAAGCCTTTTCAGGATTGCCTTATCTGGGTTTAGGGAGTTTAGGGCTTGGGCTTCTACCTCATAGTACTCCTTTTCTTGTACCGAACTCGGCATGATGATGTTCCTCAGTCCAGGTGACATGATGACGTCCTCATCATTGCAAAAGCCTCCATGAATCGCATAGGTGAAACCCTCCTTCTCTTCGGAGGAATAGTACAGCGCAGCATCCCAACGGGTCACCGGCACCGGCACCAAGCCATCATTGGAGACCGTGGACACCGCCCAGTAGCCACTTTGCCCCTGCGCATTCCCAGGGTAGTGACATGCCATGGACCTCACCATCACTTGATGGTCATTCATCAGCTGTGATGGCACGGTGACGACCCTCAAGTCCCGGGTGTTGGGTACCTGGGACTGGGTCACCAGCTGCACTTGAAGGGCAGCACCACTTTTGCCACAGGCCCGGTAGCTGTACGAAAAGAGGTCCTGTTGAGAAGACGAGAGTCACCAGGAGTCCAAACGCACCAAAATTCCAAAATTGGAAGGAACATCGATTAAAAATTAAAAGTGAAATAGAAGACCCGAGGAGAGCGAAGCGACGGCGATTTGGAAAGGGTTTGATGGTATTTGGGATGGCATTTGGGGAGCATTTCGCTCAACGACCACTCACTTGAGCTCTTGAAACCACTCACTTGAGCTCTTCCTCTTTTGTGGAATGAACACAGTGTCCTGACGGAAGACCAAGAGCCGGTTGCAGGGCAGAATCATCTGCGTTCTCTCGGCCAAGCGTGGATCGAAGGGTTCCAGGATGATCTCTGTACCCTCTGCATCTAACAGGAGCATCACACACAATTTCCTGAGTCGGCCAGGAAGAAGTAGACAGTAGACATGATTCTTGCTGTTGGGGGAAGATCAAAGCATGAAGAACTCAACCACCTGAAACAAAAAGAGTCAAGTTCAGAAGTTATATCTGCCAGCTGTCCGGTTCTCCAAGAAGTCGATGTGTCCCAGCACCTTGCCATCCTCATAGTTTCTCTGTGACAAGGGGAAGGGCCGATAGGAACTCTCCTCGCTCTTGCTGTCAATGGGTAGCCGAGCTGTGACCCTAGAGCAGCCCCACAGCGTAAACCCGAGCCTGGAGGACACGTAGGGCTCCATGGCCGCAGACACCGAGTGCAGGAGGGCAGCTGGGCCCTTGAGCCCCTCGGGCACCGCGCGTGGCACCGCGCCCTCCTCGGACTCGGTGGCCAGCTCTTTTTGGAGGATCCGAGCACTGGCGTCGAGAAAGGCATACTTGGAGCTGTTCCGCCGACCCAGGTAGGCTGCTTCGAACTCCTGGCCGGTCCAGGTCGTGTATTGAGTCATGCGAGTCCGATGTCAAATACGATGGTAGAAACCCTGTGATGCCAGATGTGGCTTGATCTGGCTTGAGGCTGACTGTGGGAATAGCCCCACTAGCCACACACACCAAATCCAAAGCAGACTCCTTCTTGGGCAAGGCCCAGCCAATCAGGTTGTAGCAGTCATCCACAGCCTCTGTGAGCTCCTGCGGCGCAAGACCCGCACGGGAACGTCGGAAGCAGCTCGGGAACGTCGGAAGGGCCGACCAGATCGATGCATAATGGTTGCATCTATTGTATGTGGAAAAAAAATATCAAGGCAAATTATGTGTGCCACCTAGTCGAGATCAATGAGTTATGTGTACTACCTAGTCAAGATCAATGAGCTTGCAACACAGGGCCTTTGAAGCTGAAGTCACCTGGAGACTTCTTCGCTGTGTGTGTGTGAACTCAGGAGGCCAGGGAGGTAGAGGGTTCTGGTTCCTGAAAAGATTGTGGATTGCCATATTTAGCGTGTTGTGGACTCCGCAGAGTTCCTCCTTGGTCAAGAAGGTCTCCACCACGCAGTACCCCTTCCGCGCCAAAGCTTCCACAAGTCGCAGCCCAAAAGAACGGCCTGGATTTGTCGTCACGGATTTTCGTCGCGGACGGTCAGGAACACCCCAAAATAACCTGGTTAAAGGCTCTTTCTGGGATTGAAGACGAGAAACAGACGAGATCATGGATTGAAGAAAACATTCTCCCATTCTGTTGGCCGGTCCAGGAGGTGAACGCCGCACTGGTGTGTGACACAAAAAGATAAAAAGGATCGGAACTGAGTCCTCTCGCAGAAACCCACTCCTTGTTCTGAGGTTCCTGGCAACTGATGCACGGTTCCTTGCGACTTAGCATGCAACAGAATGCTGGCCTTCCGTGGGTTTTCGACGCAAAAAAACCGACTGCAACAACAAAGACCAGCAAACTGATCGAAGATGATGAGTCCCAACAGGCACCGAGCTTCCAGAGATAACAGTCTGGCCCATCAACTGATGAGTCTTGCAGTTACCGAACTTCTGTCTAAGATCAACTATGCCTGAGATGTTTGTGAAAATGTCATTTTTGCATTCAACCAGTCCACTCTTCTTTGGATCACACTGCAGGGGCTAGACCCCCGGAATGAGAATCTACCCTGAAAGAGCCCATGGCATCCGATGAACAGTTGGACAAAGTTGGACCTCGCCTTCTTCCTCGTCCCGTGGCAAAATCAAGTCGCAAACATCTTCGATGGCCAGCTCCTCTTTGAATCGCAGACATCCCAGGCGACTTTTTGAGCAGATCGGTCATGTAACGGGAAGCTGGCTGATGGTGGTTTACCATAGATAAAGCTCACAGGGCCCCACTCAGTATAAGCTTCCAAAAGCCAAAAGTAAACACATACTGTAGAAAGGATCATGGGAATTAAATGGAATTAGGATCACGGTGTCATTTACCTTGATTCAAAAGGGAAAGCGACCCGCTCCTCTGCGTCCCCCTGCTCCAGTTCAGTCATTCCACTTCAGGCGGAAGGGTCGTGTCGGACGCGTCGGACAGTGCATCTGTCCCGGGTGAACTTTTTGAGTTGTGCTATGCTATGCCGTTGCTGCTTTGAACGCATTCTGTCGTCGGTTCATGGTCCGTTTTCAGCGACATGTTCCGTGTTCTCATTGTCTCGTCCTCTCGTGAAAAACCACGGTGCTCTTTAACAGTTCGTTGAAGAATCCACGATTCCATGATCCACGAGCTGCCAAAAGGGCTGCCAGACACACACGCATGGAAGTCCTAAAAAGCCTGTACTGCGCATGCCCTGGAAGTCCAACACTATCTTCAAATGGGCAAATCTAGATGTTTGTAGTGCAAATCCTTAGTAAAAACCATGCTTCTTCCGGATGACCCGGCTATTGAATGAATGGTGGTTCGAATCCTAGGGCATGTTCCCAAGAATGTAGAGACATTGTTGGCAGGATCTTCGCCGCTGGATCAGCTAGACTTCTTAAATCGGCCCCACTGCCCCAAGACTCCCCTGGATCCGAAAGATGATGGTCTCCAGTAGTTGGTAGTCTAATGAGTTCCAAAAGAATGCATCCAAACCCTTTTGGCTGCAGCTCTCGCCTTCTTCTGCAACAGCATGTGCTGGGACTGCTGCTTCGTGGTCTGAGCATTTAAAAGCCTCGATTGGAAGAGCTGTGGACACCTGTGAGACACTCGTCTCTTCCGCACATGGCCAAAAAGATTCAGGCGGAAAAGCTTGAACCAGCGCAGCCCTTGTCGAAAAGATTCGAAAGGAGAAATTCCGAAACTTGAGTAAGTTCCTCTATTGACCGGGCTTTGCATGGCGTCTATCAATTGGAAGGATACTCCAATGACATATCGGAAACATCTTTTCACCTTTTAAGCAATTGCACTCCTTCTGGTAGGAATGATTTGCTTGACTCCACACGAGCTTGCTTCAAACGTTCTCTTCCACTCCTGGTGCAACGATCTTTTCCACAAAAGGGGCAGCGTTAAGTTCGGAAACTAAAATGTTCGGTTTCGGAAACTCGAAGGTTGGGTTTGGACACTAGCAAGATGCTCTTCATACCGTGTTTCAAACAGGTGCTCACATGCATGGCGCGTCAAAATCCCCAAACCCCAACAAAGAATAGTTTCCGAACCCGTATGTTCTGAACCTACCAAAAATTGTGTCTGAACTCGACCAAAATAGCTTCTGAGAAATCCCCACCGTGGAGAAAAGAATACCTCAAACCCACCTCGGCTCCTTGAAGGTTGGTGTAGTTGCTGGGTGTTGTTGGGGGGTCCCCCCAAAAGTGGGTGTTGGGTGTGTGCTCCACAAAGGCGTGTCTGGGCCTGGGTCAATTCACCCAGTGCCTGCAATTCTTCACTCCAAGAAAGCAGCAGGATACAACTCATCGTTGGAGGATGTTTCCTTGTGTATCCAATCTGGACAAATCTCCAGGCATTTATCCAAATTCTCTCCCGTCAGAATGGGAGAATCCAGAAACTGGAAGTGGTCCAAGCTTGGTCCAAGTTTTGGATTACAGTATTAGCCCTCACATCAGTTCTGGTTCCCTCCAGCGTCAAACCAGGATCCCCGTACTTCTGCTCCATGAGCCCATGCCGCGTTTGTTCGCGGATCGCTTTGGCCTTGTGCAGAAAGAACGACAGGGTAGTAGCCATACACTTCTTGAAACCAAACTGTGCTGTAGATGGTGGTGTGATAGAATATGATAAAATCAATTTGAGTGAGCTTGTACATTCACCAGCAAAAATAGGAAAATGACCAATCGAACAAGCTGCAAAAACAGGATCGCCGCGAAGTACTCGGCTCTAAGAACAAAGCGGCCAAACAGTGTTGGGTGATTCGTCTTGTCCCACACCGTCATACCCACTTCTGCCTCTTGGTACACCAGCAGTTTTCGGACAAATTCTTAGACTCCCGAACCCTCACTTCACACAAGGACCACATACATGACTCCTGGAACTCTGAGACTGCTCGAAACCACCTGGAGAAGTTCCCGGATGAGCTCTGATCAGCATGAAGAGCCAAGTTTTTGGAAGCGACACACCCCCGTGTTCTCGCACCTTCTCCCTCTGCTGCGCATTCTGCGCCTTACATCCGCACGGGACGGGAAAACGGTCGCTCCCACGTAGAAGATTCGGCCGACGAAACCCCTGCCCGACCTCATGTTCAAGCGAAATCGTACACCACCTGTACCCAAAACCTCTGCAAATCGGGGGGAATCCACTGTGCCCTCTCAGAGAGGCTGTAGGACTCCCATCAGCAGACAAGCGAAGGATCGCTTTTCCACATGGCGAAGTTCGAAGGATCTTCACCCTGTGGAGTTCCACGTCCGAGTCCACAACTCCTCCCAGTATCCACAACGATGGGGACATCCGAAGACCCCCCCGGACCCGGCCTTTCCTTTCCTGAAAAGAAATACCATCAAACACCACGAAACACACCTTTAAACACGAAGGCCGCGAAGCACAACGGCTCAGTGCCTGGGCGTTCCGAATGGACTCCCACTTTTGCTTGTAAAACTGCTCCTGGTGCCGCTGGGGGCTGAGAGCAAATCCCGAGCATCAGGAAACACCATGTCAGGTGGTGTACTATTGCATCCACTTAGCGGCTACAAGCGTCAAGTACCTGTGCAATTGGTTCGGATAAACCATCTCTAAAGGCGGAATGTCAACATGAGGCTCCTTGTTTCAAAGGATGTTCTTCTGGAAAGTCTACTTAGACTTCCAAGTTTATGGCTCTTCAACGGAGCGTAAAGCATGGGTCAAATTGGCTGCTGGTTAGTAGGGAAATCCAATCTGTCGACGCACAGCCTCCGCTTTCCACCCTATCTCGAGCTCTCTATGCGCGCTTGCACAGCCAAATCTGCACGAAGGAAGTATGAAGAAAAGTCTCCAAGGAATCTTATGTTCGCTTGACATTGTAGGGTGTACTGGCATGGGCATATGGATATCCCTGGATTCAAACAACAAAAGTGTAGTGCTTGAAAGCTCATCAAGAAACTGATTTTGTCGTCTGAAACCCCTGGGCCTGTCAGTTCTCCGCAAATCCAACAGTTTTTCAAAGATTGTGATGCAGCAAGTGCAGGTTGAATCCAGGCAGGGTTTCTTTGAACAAATGTCTGAGTAATTGGAGGTTTCCAGGCACAATTGCAGGGAAAAGCGCAGAGCGGAGCCGTTGGAAACCATCCTCGTTCAAATGGCAGAGTAACCCATAGCTCCCCCAAAACGACTCCACGCAAACATCCCTCCAAGGAGTCCCAAATGTGGCCTACTTTGGCAGGTCAACTCGCGTCCATGCTTTTTTGGTAGCCGCTTCCTCACCAAACCATCACCATCAACAATGACTCAGTTCACCAGCTGAAAGGATCTTATGCGGGAATGTGCTTCCAGCAGCTTTTGGGTGCAAACACTTGGGGATCGTCGTCGTATTCCGCAGGGATGCTGCCAGCACGTGTTCCTAGTAGCAAGGCCAGGAGCCCCGTTCGTAGCGTCCGAACTATGCGGAGCCCACGCCTTGGCCGAGAACTTCTGCTCGTTCTGTTCTCGAAGCTTGACGATCTCCGCCGCGCGCTTCTTGGTCCTGGCGGGTACCGCCTTTTGGCCCAACGCAGAGCCTTTGTGTGCGCTGTTGAAGTGGCGTCACAAAAAGGAATCGATGCGAGAAGGCCAAGTTGAAGTGACGCTTTCATATCAGAAGATGTGGGTGCCATTTGTAGCGACTTGAAGTCTCAAAGGGAGTGACTCTGCGACCCACAGGAATAGACTGGGGCAAGTGATTTGGTGACAAGGTGGAATTACCTAATCTTTGGTGAGTTGCAACCAAAGTAGGTAGGTAGGTAGGTAGGAAGGAAGGTAGGTAGGAAGGAAGGAAGGAAGGAAGTATCAATCTGTCCAAAAAATCTATTTATCTATCCATCCATCCATCCATCCATCAATCAATCAATCCATCAATCAATCAATCTATCTATGTATATATATATATATATACGTACAAGTGGTCTCCAACTAAACTTTAGACCCAATTTGCATGTGGCTCTGAACGCCCGGGGCCTACCCCAGCCCCTGCAAAACCGAAGAATTCAAGAATTGTTCCCTTTGGGCTCCCGGCTCTTCAATCTTCTTCCAGGCCTGTTGGAGACCAGCTTCGTCTCGTTACGGCCAAAGTATTCCGAATGGTTCCGCAGGTTTCTACTGGAGAATATCTTGATGATCCACACAATTGGGTGGTTCCATTCTATTATCTTTTTCGGCAACTGCACACTTGCTACTGGAACCGGGTATCCCCATTTCAACCACGTCAAAAACCAGTGAAGTGTCCCTTCAAGCCAGGACATTTATATACGCAGGTCAACCCCAGCCCAAAATTTGGAGGAGGGATTCAGCAAATGCCAGGTAGGACAAAGGACCCAGAACCTGTGGTTTCCTGCATTCAATGTTTGATTTACAGCATGGTCATAGACAAACCCATCTTGTTGGGACTCCTTTGCAAACTCTTCATGAGAATGAGAATCCGTGTTTGAACTTGTGACTGATACAGCTTCACGATGTCTTTGACTTCGAAGAAGAAAAGCTTCACCACAAGAGGCCGCCAATCGACAATCGACCACTTTCTGGTTCTCAGTGGGACCTTGATAGAGGTGATGCTTCCGAAGTTGCTTCAGCAAGCTCAATTGATCCTTCAGGAATCAAAGTCCAATACAAGCACCAGGTGGTGTTTAGACTCTACGTAGCAAATAGTTTTGGAGAATCTCTTGAACTAAGAAAACCTGTTGGAGGGTGCGTGTAGTTGAGACTCAGATTCAATGTTGCAACTCGAGCAGGCATGAACTCACTCCAAATCCACAGTGCTCCAGCGTCCCAAACACTACCCAACCCCAAAAACACGGGCTGGGTGCAGCACGAGCACCGCCGAAGCCCCACCCATCACCGGTGCTCGCGCCACGCCTTCTCCTCCTCTTGTTTCAGCAAAGCGATTCGGTTGGCTAACAGCTGGGCATCCAGCTCCGCCTCAGTGGGCGTCGCAGTAGTCGGTGCAGCACCAGTGCAGCAGGCACCACTCGACCACTGGAGGGGCTACCGGCTACCGAGATCATTCCAAAGGTAGAAGCCCTCACTTGGCAATATGGCTGATGAAACATTTCTAAGTGAGTAGCATGTCCTCCAGACTCCCGATCTGCTACTCCACCCATGATTTGCTCAATTGATCAGTATGATCCTGCACCGATCGATCTGGAAACCGCACCATGATCTCAGATTAGATGGCACCAATCTTGAGAAGTTGCTGCAGCCATCAAAATGACAGAGCTCTGTCCGTTTGTGCATTCTGAACCTGCATGTACCCTCACTGCAACAAACCACAACAAACCGCACTTACACACACCCTTGAGAAAAAAATACAAAAAGAATCCTCAGCCACAAACCCTCCCATCTTTGTTCCACTCTCAGAGTCTCCGAAAACCCTTTCTGCGCCATCGGTTTAACACTGGGCCTCCCGGACACGCTTGCGAGCCTCTCTTGCTGCTGTCAGGTTCGCCTGGCCCTGAGGTGGCGTTCGCTGGTCACATGGGCATGCGGAAACCGCTGCGGCAACGTCTGGTAGCGAGTAGAGGGGCTTTCCTTTGCCAGGTACCATGTAGCTACTGGTTCTACACTTGGGGCATCCCTTCTATTCATCAGCCAACCAACCTAAAAGCCATCGCAAGAGTTGTTCACTCACTAAACCTTGCCATCACAATGATTGATCCTGTATATAGATCCCAGCTTACCAGGCCGTCCTAAGATCTCTTTCTCTCACTTGGTTTCACCATTAGGAAAAGATCCATTCCACCCGAATGCTCTTGATTCCAAACGATCTCGCCCATGGGACTGCCTGCATGACGCTGGTACCTTCCTGCCAGGAGATCAGCCGTCGGAGGAGGGTGAGAAGCCAAAATTGGATAGAACCTCCACAGGATGTCAACAGAAAGAATTATGACTGCTGTGACTCAACACAAAAGGAGGAATTCGGAATGCATCTCTTCATGATTCAAATCCGTCAAAACCCGCAAAATAACAGATAGAATGGATCTTTCACTCATCCGAGGGTGCTCATGGACAGCATTTTGAATGCACAATCACAATCTCCCAAGCTTTGCAACACTGCAAGAACGAGAAGCAGAGTGATCCGCTTTGCAGGGGCTTCGAGACTCAAGTGAAAAGGTGGCACCTTCTTGTGAAAGGCAAAATTTACTCAAGATGCAAAGTTTGCCCTCACAATTGGTGTACAAACCCAAGAAACATGCAGGAAAACTTGGAATTGTTCGCAAACTCACACGAAACAGGTCAATGAGGCAAGTTACTTCACTTCCAACCTCCAAACCAAACACCGATCTTGGAAGGTGATCACATAAGCAGAAAAACCATCCATCCCCGTCCGAATTTGCGTCTTTGGGAAATCCCTTCGAATCGTCCCTTGAAAAAACCGTTCAAAAAAAGGGAATCGTTCGCTTCTTGCCAGCCCTTCAGGACCACTGGGTCCGGAGGAGGGACATCCGCCATCTTTGGCACCTTGGTCCAAAATGGGACGTGAAGGTCTACACATTGGACGTAACGACTCCCATAGGTTTCTAACAAGCGCCCTGATGGTCGTTCATCAAATCCAGCATGTATGCAGAATGGACTGGGTGATTGAACCATACCCAGATGCGAAAGGCTCCAAATACAGCAAACCAAAAGGGAACTGTGAATCCTCGAGTTTAAATGAGAAATTCACCCATATGGATGAAAATCTCCATGGCGAACCCAAATCAAACTACTAAGGATGTGGGGTTTCTTGGTGTGGGGTGCTTCTTCCAGGGTTGCTATTACTGTACGTGTCCAGTCATTCACCACATCCATGTGCCACACCTCACCTACCCTGTCACCAGAATAATGATATGTTTGGTCGTACAAACGATCAGTTCGATTCACATTGCAGTAGCCGGTGGCCATCCAACATTCAAGCTGAGCGGCCTATCGTCTGCGTGGTCTGACCGCCCGAATATCGTCCACTCCCTAGTCTTGCACCAACACAGCTGACACGCACGTTCATCTGTATAAAACAATAATGACAAACACGAAACATCAGCTCTTATGATGCCATGGTTGTTTTGTGGACCTACGCAAAATTCATCGATGCGCAGCTTCAATGGTAAGCCGCTTCAAAAATTATGTAACCGAAAAATTAAGTGACTTCATGCGAGCGGGCCCCCCCGGCGAGCGGGCCCCCCCGGCGCAACAACATTCAACCTATAATAGGCCCCATTTGGCACAAAACAAAACATTTGGAATTTCTGTGTCTCCAAGTCTCCAAGTGGTTTCATGATCTGCATCTGCACTTGAGCATGTTTTGGTGAAACAAAGTTTTGCAACTGCTTTTCAGGACGCTGCCTTCAGGTGACGCCACAAGCATGATCAGCCAAACAAAAGCAGCGGCACACCAGCACGTAAGCTCCAAAGCGCACATGGCCACACGCACAAAAAGCGGCAACTTGAAGTTAGAACCCCAATATATAGCTCTCGCTAGCTGGGGAAAAACGTCGTGAAAAACAGCACGCGCGCTATAGAAGGTTTCAAATCCCGACATCTTTGTGCAATTCACTTCTACTCCGCATCCCGCCCTCGTTTCTCATCAACTCACTTCACACCAACTCAGCTCACGCCAACTCGACTCACACCCCTCATCTCCTTTGCACTCACAAGTGCCATGAAGGGTCAAAACACTCCAGCATTGTTGTGGCGGCGGGATCCGAGTTCTTCCACCTCCTTTGTTTGTTGTGGGCGCTGAAACTTGAACCCCGTTCACCCAGAGGCCTTGCTCACTCCGCTTCCAAGTCCGGAAAGGAACCCGGCCTTGGCTGATCAAACCTTATTTTTAAGTGGTCTTTTGATCAATGCGAAGCCAGTAGAACGGGAAGAGGCACAACAGGAAGAGTAGAAGAGCTCGTTGTGGCGAAGATGCGGCCGTGTCTGCGCATGCTGGTCCATCTTTCTCACCAATTTATTTGCAGTAAGTTCAGAACGCCATGAAAGCAGACCGTAGAAATCCAAAGCGGCAATTGAAGGCGATTTCCCGGAGCATGACGTTGGCCACTTCCAAAAACAAAAAGCCTGATGCATCCTTGTGGAAACTGCAATTTTTGCGTCTTGTGGCCTGCAGTTCTGGGGAGGCCCTCCATGGCGAGACGGGTTTTGCCACGGTTTTTGGACCCCAAAATGAAGGGAACAAGTTCACCCGCAATGCTTTGGACCTGGGCGTGGAGGTGCACGGCAAGTGGCAAAGGTAACCAATCGTGAGTTGCCATTTGCTCTTCCTTCCAGACGCATGGCGCCCATAGGGCCAAGAATTGCTGCCAATAAAAGCAAGGGCAGTTGCATGTTTCAGGAATTTGCCTCCTGACGCTCGCACTGCCGACAATCCAAGTCTGCGACTTTGTTGTGTGAGCGTGCTTTCTCCTCCTGCAAAGGGAATGGGAGTGGGCCCTTGCTGTCGTGACAGGTTGCACAGCTCCTGAAAAATCTTTCTGAGCGATCTCGCAAGCTTCCATTTGATAGTGACCGCATTATGTGCTGTATGCAATGTGTCTCATACTTGCACCTTTCGCTGTTTTGGAGCAAACATCAACTGACGCATGTGCTGGCACTGTCAAGGATGCTGCGGAGGATCCAAAGCCATTGTGTCGTCCGCTTCGATGGAGCATGCAGCTTGTGCAAGTATTCACTGAAAGCTGGCCTTCGCAGCAAATTCATCCATGCCCAGGTTTTGTCTTGCATTTGTCCCACATTGAATTCATTGCAACGTTCGGTGATAAATCCCATCACGAGATCTGCAGGATTTCCTGGATGTCTCTTCTGGTGGGTTGCCCATTGTGTTTTTGGTTTTGTGTTTTGGTTGCTTCGTTGTCTGTGTTGTGTTTTTCGCTTTTGGTACTCAGGAAACTTGATCTCTACAACCTCTGACCTTCGCATTCTTGTGACAACGGCAGCCCCAGGCGCGTGCAAAAAAATCTGGCCTTTCAGGGCGCTCGGTTTTGCACGTTCTGCCCACGGGGTGTTTTGGCAGCGGTGTGTATCAACAATTTATATAACTGAACGAGCAGAGATGGCTCCTTCACACTGGTCTCTCACAGGGGCAAACTTCAGGTGCCAGGTCCACTCACTCACGGCGGATCTCCAAGCATTGTGGCAAACACGCACCAGGCGCGCAAGGCCGGAAAAAAAAAAGTTTGACCTGTAATCGATCAAGAACATCACACAGGCCAAACGCCTTTTTTGCACGCGTGGGGCTGCCGTTATCGCAAGAATGCGAAGGTTAGCTGTTCTTTATTTTTGCACGCGTGGGTGAAACGTCATAACCTGCGCATGGATGAATTGCCACGAAGGCCAGCTTTGCATGGAACTCGTGAGGTTTGCATTGAAGCAAACAGATCTGTACTTTCAGGCTCAACCACTAAAATACAGTCAAATTCCGCTAAGCTGCAACTGCTAGCGCTCCTTTTTGTCGCGATGAGCTGCGTGCTTGAGCCAAGAATTGGCACAGCGCGTAAAAGCATAGCATTAGGTGATGTATTTCAACACCCCCCTCTGCTTTCACTAGCGACCCGTGAATTAGCAGCTTTGATCGGGCTAAGCTATGATGCCAGCATGGATCTTCTTTTAAAGACCACTCTATGGCGTATGCTCAGAATGCATGCAGCTCGAATTTAGTATGATCGCCAACTTCCGGTCGACCACCGCCCATACCTGTCGCGCGTCCACCATTGGCCCTCGTAGTAGGTGTAGCTTCCCCAGCGATCGCCGTCTCGATACTCGCGGGCAGCAGCATAAGCTGTGCGGAGAGCACCCTCTCTTGCATCTCTCACAGGCATCGATTTGGATGTTGTAGTTGATGCTGGCGAGGGTAACGGCGGTGTCTTGGTGGATGCAGCAATGTAGTCGGTGGGCTCGGAGGAAACTTTGCCGTTGGCATCTGGCGAATGTCGATCGTACCAATCGCATTGATACCAGCACTTGGTGAGCTCTCTCCATCGGGTTCAGCATTCGGGGCAACCCTTTGGCTGGATGCGGCCTTTGGAGGTGTCCGTGGCGCAGCAACATGAGTTCTGCTGGCCTTGCCACGACCCTTCGCCGCGTTCCTCTCAGCTGCCCGCTCGCTCTGCTGACGCTTGCTTTGAACGAGCTCTTGGGCAGGGAGTTGTCAATGGTCTCGTGAAGCTCTCTCAAGGTAGGCGTCTCAATGACCTCCATGACAGGTAAAGGTCAACAGGTTGGTTCCTTTTCCCCGGGTCTTGCGATGATCGCAGAGATCTTGGAATTTCTTGAGACTATGGAGCTCACGCTTCCAGATGATCACCCAATGGGAGTGTTCAAAGCGTTCCAAAAGTGCTGGATCATTGCTGGTGATGTGAGCGATGTCTTCGTCAACGTACATCAATTTCGCAAAATCCAGGTCATTGGCGGTTCGCAATCCCACTCCAAGATTAACCTGAGCACGAGTGCGTGGAGGCGTGGGAAGATGGCCGTGACACTATGTCACGCAACTGGATGTCGAGCAACGTAATGTTGTGCTCGGTCATCCGTTCAACGAACTGCACGTCGTTCTCATAGCGGTCAGCCATCGATGTACAGCCAAGGCCGATGGCTCTCTTCAACTGCTGTCTTGCAGTTCCGATGTGGTCGCCTTCAGGGCTGCGATTGCCTCGGGCACGCCCTGGACACCCACCGCTCAACACCATCTGGGTGGGCCCGCCACATTCCCACAACCTCCACCCAACCACGCCAACTTCAAGCCACACTCACTCTGCAACGCCCACACGTGGCCCTCTGCGGGTCACCATCCCACGCCCCGATCACAACGGACCTCACGCCTTTCAACTTTTCCAGCGACATCAAGCATTACCTCAACTCCACAGCACACCGTACCCGACAACCCTTGCTCCCTCCCAGGCATTCACCACCATGTCCAGCTCCACCGGCTAGCTACCCATCAAACCGAGCAGTGGGAGGCCATGCTCATCGACAGCCAGTTCGAAGAGACGTACATCACCAATCATCACCTGACTGGTCAGGCCCACTATCGGTGTACCGAGGTGGAAGATGTACATGGCAAGATCGTGCTCGGAGTGGTGGTTGATGGCCATCCCTATATGAACTCATCCTTGTCAGCGGCTGGGACTTTAGCCCTCCACTAAGGTGGTACCGATTGCCACACTGGTTGAAAAGTCATTTGACGAGGGCATCTGGCATCTTGCGAGGCAATATCACAACGTTTCGGAGCATGACGAACTTGATTTGAGCCAGTTTGTCGGTGCACTCTTCGCTGAGTTCCCCGAAGCCCGCATGAAAGTGACGGATCTGATGCACATGACAAAACTTGACAACAAGAACAGGTTCGAATTCCTCGCAATTGCTGGCCACCAAAAAGCCACAGGAATCAACCAAACATACTTTGAAGATAAGGGCAGCCACAGGCCACGTGTTCATTCGCTCGGAGAATGACTTGTTCTTCAACGCCGACGTTGTTTACGTCCGACATCAGGACGCCGGCAAAGACCTCTCCGATTTTCGCGGCACTGGCGTGCCAGTTGTGGAGTGCATTGAGGATGTCCCCGCCATGACCTTTCACAGGACGTTTCATGCTGCAATCAAGGGCATTCAGCAAGACGGCCTGCTGGTTGGCGGTGAAGCCCGGCGCAACTCCGGCAGAGCCTACATCTAGTTGGCTCGAACTCAGATTCGCCAAAATGAAGTGGTGCCGGGAATTCGGAGGCTCAATCCGATCGAAGTTGTTGTTGCTCTGCGTGAGACAGTAGCGGATCTGCTTTACGACCAAGTGCTATTTTGTCACCTGACAATGTCTCGAGCGCAACATTGTCCACATCCGGGACACCGAGAAGGACATCATCCTCTGGTCGAGGTCCAACGCGACAAGAGTCATCCCAAAGGCGCCGGCAGCCTCCCGCGAGGGAGTGCCAGTGCTGCACCTTCTGCAAGCCATTCAGGAAGCACCGATGTCGTGATGGAACCAGCACCGACTCA